GCAACTGGATCCAATGTAGGACTCTGATGTCAGGATGACTGAGCCTGAATTCACAATCTTCCCCACTCCCCGCCGGCACCGCGGAGCACCCGGCCCCCAGTGCCTCCGCCCGACCCCCTGCACCGCCGCTCGGCCGCGGCCGGGCGCTCTGCAGAGGCACAGGGCCTGGTGGGGCAGGGCCGGGGATGCCTGGGCTCCCTCTGGTCGAGGCATGGGTGCAAGGGTCTGCCATCGGGATAGGAGCCACAGGGACCGGGCACCAGGACGCCTGGGTTCTGCCACCGTTGGCTGTGTGGCCCTGGCCCAAGCCTACCCTGCTTCTTGCCTGGTTTCCCCGGCCATCGAAGGGGGCTGCAAGGCTCGAGGTGTGCCGGGAGGGCTGGGACAGGTCCCCAGCTAGCTAGGGGTTGTAGAGAGAGCTAGATCACGCGTGGCCGCCCGGAGTGAAGTGCTGAGCTGTGCCCGTCACGGGAGATGAGGGCCATACCCAGCTGATCCTGATGCCTCCTGTCCTCCACCTCCCTTTGTCCCCCTGGCCCGCGCTCTTCACCCTGGCATCCCCAGCTCTCTTCTCCCCCAACCCTTGCTTGCTCTGGGCTCCGGGGTCCCGACAGTCCCGTGCCAGCTGCCTCGCACCTTCGCTCCCAAACCTCGTGTGCGCCTTAAGCGGCGGGAAGGGGCTGGCAGATGCATAAAGCACATGTGAGCGGAGAGAGCTGGGGCTGGGCTGCCCGTTTCCTGGAGCAGATCGATCCTCTGCATGAGCCGCAAGGCCTTCCTGCCTTCCCTGCTCCGGTTCACACCTGCTCTGGAGGGCGGCAAGTCCAGGCCAGGAGGTGCCCCGTGGGGGCCGCCCCTTGTGTCCCCTCTGCTGCAGGCCCCGGCCCCGCAGCCTTTCCCGAGCGGCTGGAGAAATCAGACCCCTTTCCCACAGTCGGCTCCCAGCAACTGCCCCCAGCTGAAACCTGAGCCCGAAGCATCTGCGAGCCTCCTGCCCCGGCCGACATTCCAGCTGGGAGCGAAGGCCTCCCCCTCCTTTCACTCCTTCTCCTTCCTCTCTTCCATCTCGCTCCCCTCCCATCTCCCCCCCCACCTGCTCTCCACGGATTTTCTGCAGGGCTGATTTGGCTTCTGATTTCTCCGTTGCCTCCTGCAGGCGCCTTTCTCTCGCCTGAAGCCTATCTGGACCTCCTCCATCCTCCTGCTGCCCGCGCCTTGGGAGGGGGCACGCAGCATCCCAGAGATGTTGTGGGGTAGGGCGGGCTGGACACAGGCTCTGGGAAGCTTTGGAGAGCAGGCATCTTCCTCCTCCCCAGTTGCAGAGGCCTCCTTGTCCAGCTCCCGGGCAGGAGCAGGCTGTGCCGGGGCCCGGATG